CAAACACCAATGATCTATTCCTTTTTGTTATTAGTAACAAACATGTTAATGACTGTTGCACTCATGCTGTAAAGTCATTAAAAATACTTCAGCCATACTTTAATCAATATTGGACCAAATCCTTTTGGACTAGTCAAGGGCCCAATTCTAGCCTGTCTCCAGCTTCAATTGTCTCCCACCACTCAACCTTTCACATGCTAAAGATTGTGGAGAAATCTTCCAAAACACTTAAAAAAAATATGCTATAGCCAATTGCATATATAGCAGCCAATTTTATGCCTTCGTTCATTAAATCCAGCCAGGCTTTTAATTTTTATGAAATGCCTTACAAAATAGATTATTGTTCTTACGGTTGAATGGGAAACCCATAAAAATGTAAAAATGATCAATGAAGTGCTTTATGCATAACATTAAAAACTCCAAACATATAAATAATGCAGTGAGCACAATGTATTTAAATGGTAGAACAAATACACTGATATTTACAGAAAGGTTCTGTGAAGAGTTAGGCATGGAGTCCTTTGAAGTCAAGGGCTTTGCACAGGAAACTCTGCATAAGATTGCTGCCTGAGGAACTCATGAGGCCCAAGCCATAGTCACACATTCTAGGTAAAGGTAAAGGGACCCCTGACCATTAGGTCCGGTCGTGGCCGACTCTGGGGTTGCGGCGCTCATCTTGCTTTATTGGTACAGCTTCCGGGTCATGTGGCCAGCATGACTAAGCCACTTCTGGCGAACCAGAGCAGTGCACAGAAACGCTGTTTGCCTTCCTGCTGGAGCGGTACCTATTTATCTACTTGCACTTTGACGTGCTTTTTAACTGCTAGGTTGGCAGGAGCTGGGACTGAGCAATGGGAGCTCACTCCGTCGCGGGGATTCAAACCGCCAATCTCGGCAAGTCCTAGGCTCTGTGGTTTAACCCACAGCCCCACCTGTGTCCCTGGGTCACACATTCTAATCAGGTGCTAATTGAACATCCAGCATACAAGAGTCTATTTGTAGGGATGAGTGTGCTAGCACTGCTGCCCCTATTGCCATTCCATGGAGTGACACTATGAACTGGGAAACCTCCTACAGTCATGGAGGCTCCCAGTGGCAGACCCTGGGGTGTCAAATTTCAGCGGTTCCCTGTGCGATGCCAAAATTTGGCACCCTCTGCCTCTTGTGCTCTATTCTAAATCACAGTTGCGGCACCCCCGAGTCTCCGCGCCCACTGCAACCGAACCAGTTGCGCTCCCCTAAATCCATCCCTGAGGTTCGCCACTCATTTTAGAACTCCCTTCCCATATTAACAAATAATCAGAATGCCTGAAGAGCATTATCTGTGCACTAGTTCTGAACGCTGTTGGTGGCATTCAAACCACAATGACTTGCAACTGCTTGAATGTCTAGGTGTTTTGACAGAATAACTTAATTTTTGAAAAGAGAAATAGCTGCAAGGACACTAAACCCAGCATGTAAATAAATAATCACTCCCTGGCTTGCCAGTGGCAAAAAATTATCGGCTATGGTTAGGAAGCTTTGTATGCCCGAGAAGGACTGTTCATCCATATGGCACGAATAACTGACATAGGATCTTGTACATTAATGAGTTATAAGTTCTGATGAAGATTCCATAATTCTGGGGTTCTTGAAAAGAGTTCTGGGCTAGGTGGGCCTTGCTATGATCCACCAAAGCACTTATGTTAAAAAGCACAAGCACATATTCAAGATCACTTGATTTGTTGTGTGCTAATTGTCAAGAGATCTTGGGAACATACTCTAGTTTTGTAAATGTAAAAAAACCTTGTGGATCACAGGGATTCCAGAAAAAAACATGTGAAGACCACATAATATTGCAATCAGCCCACCGTGGTCTTAGAGCAGGCACAGACACCCTCTCACTAGGAAGCAATCACAGCCAGCTTGGTGAAAGGACTCCTGAAGCAGAAAATCCCACTTCCACACAAATCTGAGTGCTGGGAAACCTCTATTATAAATCAAACACAGCTAATGATATTGTACCACACTCAGGGTTGGCCCAAGATACTTTGCTCCCTGAGGCAGAACAGCAAAAGGTGCCCCCTGTCCCAAACCAAGGTGCAGGGTATCTAAGGCTAATCTAGTTATTGGGTCATATGAGACAAAATGCTTACAAGCATCTCTCCCTTAAATGTAAAAATACAATAATAATAAAATAGCACTTCGCTGCCCTTCCATGATAGCAAAAATCAGTTGCCCAAGGCAGTCTAACTCTGCCTGTCCCATTCATCAACAGGCCTCCAGTCAAACAACTGTCGAACATTGTCTCAGAAACAAATCCCCAAATAATCTGAGATCCCAGTAGAACATGAGACTCTTGATCTCTGGGTTGTGGGTTCAAGCCCCACATTGGGCAAAATATTCCTGCTTTGCAGGGAGTTGTCTAGAATAGATGACCCTTGTGGTCTCTTCCAACTCTACAATTCTATGAGCAGTACAATCCTAGCTAAGTCTACTCAGATGTAAGTCCTGCTGAATTCAATGGGGGCTGACTCCCAGGTAAGTAGGGTTAGGACAGCAGCGCAAGTTTTGCAGAATATTTCAGATTATGGACTGAAAAAACACCACTAGGCTCAACAGAAACACGTCTATATATATGCAGATATGCCTAAAAAGTTGGAGAACTTTAGTAGTTTGGGAAACGAATTTTACTTGCCAAGAAATCTTGGCAGTTGCTGGAGCCTCCCGTTCTTTACCTTTCTGAGCAGCTGACAGCGATGCTTCTTCTTTCTGGCCTCTTTGCACAGCCACTTGCCTGCCGCTGTTTTCAGTTCTCCCAGCTCTCCGGGCCCCTTCGGGAGTCCAGATGTGTCGCTTTGGGCTCGCAAATGCTGCATCAGGGCGCGGGGCGGGTCGCTCGGCTCTCGACCCTTGCCCGAGCCTGATGCACACGCAAGTCCTTAGAAGCGCCTTCCTATGCTGTGCAAGGAGCCCCCAGTTCGCGCAGGACCCCAGGAGCTTGCCACTGCAGGGGATTCCTCGCATGAAAGAAAGCATAGCGAGGCGAAGCCGGGCTTCACTCTATAACCCCAAATACAAGGTCTATCATACACTAAATATGCTCCCGTCCTGTGCAAAGGATCGGATTCATCGTCCCGCAGTTTCCTCTCGATGCAAAATAGCCATACCGTTAGAAAGATACATCTTACTCAAATCTTTCCGCCGGGCTTTTACCTGTTGATGCACTTTTAACAAGCCCAAGGGGGACACGACCCCTTTCACCCGCTGATGGCAGCTATTTGCCCCGCCATTACGTTTGCAAAGCCCTCTGGGAACTGTAGTTTGCAAGGTAGCAGAGCTGCCCGACTACTCCGGTAAAGTACTACAACTACCACAATGCAAAGCGCCTCGCGCCTAGCCTTGCTGCTCAAAACTACATTGCCAGAAGCCTCCTCCTTCCCGAAAGCGTCTGTCTGTATATTGAGCGTACGTGCTCTGGGACAAGTCCACCCTTTATCGTTTGCATAATAAATAAAAGGTTAGGTTCGTGCTGTATGCATTGCTCAGAAATAATTATGTGCCCTTTAAGCAGGGTCTGTAAAACTTAAGGAGGGCTATCTTCAAATAGGCACTAGCCCGCCATCTGAAGGTCTGACTCGTGGTGTGCAAGCATTATGTGTGCAGACGTCTGCGAAAAAGACGCGTGCACTACCGTCAACTCAGAATGGCGCAGCTTTCGGGTGCAAGAAGCAAACCGGTATCTGGACTGCGGATGGAGCTCGCTCACGTGGTAGACAAAACTGTGCCCGGCATAAGGAAAGCTAGCAATCCTATACATTTATCTAATAAATCAGTTCTACTGAATTCAACGGGGTTTAACTCCCAGGCAACAGGAAATAATCTAGCTGGGTTTTACGGGATTGCGCTGTAAAGATGCCATCCTTTGCACGTTTTGACAACACGCAAGCAAAGCCCCATGAGGGCAGTGTGGGGCTTGCTTCCAAGAAAACATGCATGGGATTTCCTAAAGATTGAGGTTATCAGTACATTTGGTTGTTTGTGCACGTTTACTTGGGAGTGGGGCCATTAAACATCTGAGGAAACGTGCATTGGGATGGATCAGGATCAGCCCTATCGGCCAACTCTCCCCGCCCCCAGGACAAAAGCAGCAAAAGAACGAGTCTCCGGCCTTCTCCTTTATTTTGGCAACAGGCGACCCCGCCCTACGCGCGTCCGTCTCGCCACGACCCGCCCCTTAGATACGCTACATTGACCCAAGTGCGGGAAGGAAGCTGCCTGTGGGGAATAAATTCAGGAGCGCCGGCGGAAGAATTCTGCCCGGGGCTACTTTTTGTTCGGCTTCGTCGCGTTCTTTGCAGACGCGCTCGCGGCCTTGACTGGGCGGTAGCGAAGCACCATCCCGCCCCCCGCCCCGTTTCGACGGCCGTCGCCATGGCGACAGGACGCGGTTGGATTCTGAGGCAGCACAGCATAGGGGTTTCGCGCCCGTTGTCCGACGCGATCCCCTCTCCCGGCGTCGACTCGCGGTCGCCATTCTTAGTCGCTCCTCCAGGCGCTACTGCTGGGGTGGGTGGGGGATCACGGGGCGTCTTGTTTGAACGCCCTAAACCCAGATCCCCCGGTGCCTTTCTTGAGTCTCACAGTTTTAGGCAGGTTTACTCGCTTTCTCTCACAGAATATACAGCCTAAGTCTTCATGTCAATGGAAAAGTGTGTGGTTGTATTTTTTTTTTAAGGGGGCGCTTACCTTTTTTTCTACTTGTTATGTGCCCATTATGTGTCCCTTTTAAGCTGATTGGTAGTGTTGCTGTTTCATTCTTGAATTTGGCTCGTTTTTTAGGAGGAATTGTAGTACAGTGGTACCTTGGTTTGCATACGTCTTGGCTTGCATATGTTTTGGATTCCAAACACGTCAAACCTGGAAGTGTGTGTCCTGGTTTGCAACCTTTTTTTTGGATTACAACCCATTTTTTTTGATTATGAACAAATTTTTTTTTGGAGGCCCCATTGGCGAAAGCGTACCTTGGGTTACAACCTGTTTTGGTTTACAAACAGACCTCTGAAACGGATTATGTTTGTAAACCAAGGTACTACAGTAATATGATGTTTGGATGTAGCGACTCATCCATAAATACTCCCGGGTTGGTTTTCAGACCAAAACCATGCTGAACAACAACATCAGCACGGCAACATAATTAAAATAAAAAAGAAAGATGGTAGAGAAAACAAACAGCCTATGCTTAACACTTTTTCAAATGTTGCAAACCTTGGGCCATAATCCTGTACTCACTTGGGAGGAAGACTCATTTAACTTGGTGGGATTTATAAGAGTTTATAAGAGGGCAAGAACATGAAAAATGCAACGAACAACAGCGAACAAATAATTTTGCAAGCTTATTGGGCTGTATTCCCCTCGCTGGCAATCTTCTGGGGACCCAGTGGTGGGAGTGGTCAGAGGTAAAAGTGAGTGGAGTAACAGGTGATTTTTACCTTTGGACAGTATGCGACTTTCTACCCATGCAAAAGTTAGATTTCTATATACACCCATCGAATCTTTCCATCCAGGCAGGCAAGAGGCATCATCACAGTACAGTTCAAGGATGCATTCCAGCCTGGCCAAAATCACTCAAGGAGGGCATGAAATAGGGCTGGTGAGAACTGTGGCCTGGGACTAAAGACCTGAGAGAGAGGTTTGGAGGATCACATTTGACCTTGGGCCTAAGGTTCCCACCCCTGATGATGATGATAATAATAATATGTGTTGTTTTTTATAGTGCTATGTCGGAATACCCAGCAGCCATGCAACTCAAAAAGACACACTCTCGCAGGATGTGTACAAGGTCTACTAGTATCAAGTCAAATTCTGCAATTGATTTTGACAGGTAACATACTCTTGATGCTTTACAGATGCATGCTTACCTTGTATGTAAATCTCACTGAATTCAGTTGTACTTATTCTCTAGCAAGCAGGTTTAGGATTGTAGACAAGTATTTATCTTTTAAATACTTAGCTGGACATTTATGATTTCAAAAACTGGTTTAATTGTAAACATGTCTTGGTGTGTAACCACAGATTCTTTCACATGACCCTGAAGGTAAACTGAATTATTTTGGTGATTGTACATTGAAAATGCTAAATTAATTTTGTGTATCTGAACAGCTCATGGCAGTGTCATCCCTCATGGCAGTGAATCATATATTTTCATAATAACAATGAGGCTTGTACCACTTCATAAATGAGGGTAGAAATGTGGAAGCTGCTGAGAAACATATATGTGTGGTTGAGGCTCAGTGTAGTAGTCATAATGTATGAAATGAAATGAAATTGGTCATCCTATGTACAGTGTGGATCGGTGCTACATGATGCAGACAGCTGAGACCTATTCAAGTGTTTTAATTTATCACATGATGAGAGACAGTGGGGATGAGCATCCCTAGCACCCTACATGACTTGGAGGGATAACTTCTGGGGTGAGGAGCCTTTTCTACTCAAGTAGGTCCCCTATGTAATTTATAACCCTGCGTTTGTGTGAGGAAGCCTATATTAATAGAACAGACTCTGTGTTACAGATGTTTGCCTCCAACTTGGGGAGGTTGACAGGGATAGACACCATAGAGTTAGAGCTAGAGTGCTTGTCATATTTCCCCTCACACAATAGGGACCTTTTCTGCACTGACATAGATACCTTCCATGGAACAGTGCTGATCCATGTTGTGAACTGTTGGTATATATTTCCACCTGCTAAAACTCTTGTGGACTTCTGTGTGCAAGCAGGAGTGACACTAATTCTATCACTAGAATGAAAAGTTTTTCCACTAAAGTTCCTTTAAATGAGTGAGAGATGCCCATTGTGCCCTAAATTACATTTACCTTCTTCATATTATGTTTGTGTGTGATGATGGAATTCTACAGGTTATTTCTGCTTTTGTTTTCATGTAGACAGATTTTTGTGTTCCAGATTTATGAAGCAGGGATAGATTTCATTCTGATATATGCTGCTGCATGTTTCTTCCACTCAAATAACTGCATCACTTTTTCATCTTTATCCTCCAGAATGCCATCAGAGATACTACTGAAGATATTATCCTACCTGAATGCAGAGTCACTGCTGTGTACTGGCTGTGTGAATAAAAGTTTTTATCATCTGTCCAATGACAAGTAAGGGACAGTAAAATATAGCCAGAGGTTTTTAACATTACAGCAGTCATTATAATCTAATTTATATTATCCCTTTATGTTTGATCATTGGGAGAAAGCAAGCAAGTACAACTTGCTGTACTAATTTTTTCTCATCGTTACAGCAGTTTACATGAAAGAACTTATATAGTGTTATTAAGCTATGTGGCAGTTTGAATCAGTCTGTGATTTGCCCCAGTTTGGGGAATAAAGCAAGTGCTGCCCTGTATCATCTACTGTTTTGAGAGCTGTTATGGTAGAAATATGGTATATCAATATTGTAAATAAATACTACACATTTACATGCTCATAATATTTTGTAGTTTCTGTATACTGTAGTACTCCCCCTTCCCATCATTGGCCTTGAGGATGTTGTTTGAAAAAGGATTAAGGATAATAAGTGAATAAAAGTATAATAGTAAACAAGGACACATGTGTATGCCAGTAAACTTTTGTTAGGTCTATAATTAGCAGATGTTTAACTGCTTTTTAGGCACTTATTTCCCCTCCATGCATCAGAAAAAATTGCCTTAGTAATTCTTGGCCACTGGGTGTGCAGGGAGGTTATATTTAACAGTGATTATGTATGTGCCATTTGGATCTTAGTGGCTCCCAAGTTGTTCTGGGTACAATTCAAAATACAAACCTTCTTATGCACTTGGGCCTTTTTACAGGTGCTGCTATGAAAGTAGTGTTGTTTGATGTTGGATTGGCTGGCAGAAGACACGGGGGATTCCCTTTGATATAATTTGTTAAGAAACTGTTGGGGTTTTTAATTTAGTTTCTTAGGTGGTCACCTAATATCTTATTCTAAGGAATCCAGAACAATCATAAATAATTTGTAGTCATTTATGCTCTTTTAATATTGATTATATTGTTTGTGTTTGTTAGCTTTTCAATTGTTGATGACTGTCCTGAGACTTGTTTTGAAGGAAGGTGGGATAAAAATTGAGTCTATGAATAAATAATGTTGTGCGCTTATCATCCAAGAGTCAATTTTAGTGTTAATTTTAGTCTAACATTAATAGAGAATGACATAAAGCTGGATCATGAGTGCTAATTAACACAATTTGTAGCAGTTCAGCTACATTAAGATCATTCAAAGTGTTGGCTTTTTTTGGGTAGAAGATAGAAACTGCCTCCTGATACTTAATGATGGCTTAAACATTATCTCAGAACAGCATGCTCTTTAAATATTTCAGCGATTCTTATGTTATTTTATGTTGTATTTTTCTCTAGTACAATCTGGTTCAAAATATATTCTAAGTCTTTTCTGCCTAAAAGAAAAAAATGGAGGACTGAATCTGCCCAGGAATCAGCTGTCTCTCTGAATCTTCCAGAGTTGCAAGATAGGGAGTCAGGATATTGGAAGAAAGAGTACATCATGAAAAAAATAGCTGCTGGCAAAGCTGATTTGATTCAGCTTCTGAAGCCAATAAATACCCGTACTGGCCTTCCAGTGAAAACCAAAGAAGCTATCAAGTGAGCAGTTTTATATAATGTGTAATACATGGACATTTTATATATTTTAATGACTACCTATTTTCTTTGTGAGTAAAGGAAGAAAAAAATGGATCATTTGAGAAATATATGTAAAATTGATACTATGATTAATATTTAGTTACCAGGTAGGAAGTAATTAAAATTGAAAGAATATAGATAATTTTGTTAGCTTTGGATTTTGTTTGTAGAGCATGTTTTGGAGAAAACAAATAGGTTCTGTTTTAGAAACAAAGGGGGAAATGTGGATCTCTTCTATGAAATTCCAAGCATTTTGATTATAGTTAATTTTAATGTGCTTTATCTGTATGTGGAAGTGGCAGTCTAAGGGAGCAATCCTACAGCAAGGTCAACTGTGATGAGCAGATCCAGAAGCTCTCTGGATGAGTCAGGAGGTTCCCAGTACAGCCAGGCTACACTGACTTAACTCCATCATCCTCGGCACAGCCAGAGATATACTGACATATCCCTCCCATCCTGGCTTAGCTAGGACCCAGCCAGCTGAGACATGCCTGGTGGCATGGCTGTGGCTGGACTAAACAGAGAGGACTTAGGCTTGATCCTAAACTCACCCACCTTGGTCATGTGACCTGACAGCCCAGTGTAAATTAAACCGGCAAACAGGGTAGTGTAACTCAAACAGTATTTTATAGACTGGCTCAACCAGCAGTAGCCTTGCTGTGGAACAGAGTTTGGGTCTGTTGTACTTTACACCAGTTTAACTGATGCCGGGCTTGCTTTACACCAGCTTGTGCATAGGATTGTTACCTTAAACTTTGCACTCTGCCTTTTGCTTTCCCAATAACAGGATTTCTGGTTTAAAATGGATGGTCATACTAAAGGACAGAAATGGAAAGCAACATGTGCTGGAACAGACAGACATCTCTTATAATGAGACTTCTGTTACTGTGTATTGGAATTATTTCAAGTGGCCTTGTTTAGAAACTTTGTCAGTTTTGCAGATATTTGGAGTGACACCTGTACTTCTGAGTGACAGCGAAGTTCATCCTAAGAATAGGTAAGTTAATTCTTTAACTGTGCAATCCTATCCACATCTACTCAGAAGTAAGTCCTGTTGAATTCAGTGGATCTTACTTCTGGATAATGGGGGTTAGGATTGCCACCTAACTTGTGTTCTTAGCATATTGAGCAATGGTTGCTTGTTGAAGCTTGCTGAAGAATTTTTTAAGAATTCTTATTTTCCACTGCTTGTAGTAGAAGGACATTTACCACAGCACTGTACTTTGCAAATCAGTGACCCATCAGTGACAGTCAATTGTGATGTAGTAGCAGACGGTAATACAGTCCAGGGCCATGTTAAGCTCCATATGCAGTGTGTTCTGGACTAACATACCTAACACAGAAGGAAGGCAAAGAGACGTATGCATACAGCTATTTATCATAGCAGTATGGTGATTGCTTATTATTGCTTGCTTAGGAGATTTCTGGATCCATGGATTTGGCATCGGACGGTGACTGATTCCTGTCTTCCTCATGTCCTCCATGTACACATTGCTTGTGCAATTAGAAAACAAGCACAGAAAATGGCTAACCTGTCGCCCTTCAGATGTTGTTGGATTATATCTCCCTTGATTATCGGCAATGCTGCCTGTGGCTGAGGAAAGATGTAGTCCAGCAACATTGGGAGGCCATAGGTTGGACAACCCTGCCTTAGACTTTGAAGGTGGAGGGAACAGGAGTTGACATCCAGCAAAGGGGAAGTTAGAAACCCCTTCAGTAATAGTTGCAGTATTGTGCTTATAATTTGTTCCAAAAACAAGTTATGTGCAATAGCTTTTTAGTTGCTTATGTCAGCGTTTTGGAGAAGACAAAAACTAATCAAACTTCCATATTAACAATACCTGTTCTTTTCTTAACTAACTTGATGTCTCTTGAAAGGCCTATGCAACGTTCTTTAATTTCTGAATATGATCTGGCTAACCTGACAGAAAATGCAAAGATGATTGGCTGTGATGCCCTTGTTGAACTTTACAGTTTTGATCAAGGACTCTTGGTGGGACTTTGGAAGGTAAGATTACTCCCCCAATAAGATGCTTTCTGCAATGGCTCTTATTTTGTTTTCTTATATGTAAACTTACATATCCCCCTTTACAAGATGAAAACAATACTGCAGGTCATGAAACCTAAGCTAGTTTCAAGTTTCTTATTCCATATGCTAATTAGCTGTTAAGGCTTTGTTTTAAGATTATTCATTTCTTTATTTTCTGCCTTCTTTATCTGTTATTTGGTTAATAGTATGGCTACTCCAAAATGTACTGATAAATTATACAATGTGGCTGCTGCTGAAAGGTGTATGAAGATTGTGTTATGGTAGATGGAATTACTTCTAGAAGTACAAGGAATTCAGGGACAACATGTTTCCTTATACTGGGGTTGAACAAAGCTGCTTGCCCTTCCTAGTTTTACTTTGCCATTGTAGAATAATTCTGGAAAGGTATATTTTTAATTTTCTTAATCAGGATTTCATAGAGTTCCATTTATTAAGGCAGTAGATTTTGGATCAGATTTCCAGTTTATTAACACAAAGAACTCTAGTATTTTCCTATTTTTAATTCTAATTTTCTTTTTGAGTACTGAAAAAAGGACTATCACCAGAGGGGAGAGTGCTGTTGCACTCAATTCCTATTTGTGGGCTTCCCCACAAATCTGCTGGACCACTGTGAGAACAGGATGCTGGACTAGATGGGTCTTTGGCCTAATCCAGCCAGGTTATTATGTTATTATGACACTTTGCATCCTTCAAAGGCTCCTTTTGTAGCCTGTTCAGGCGTTTAAATAATAGATGGGAACTGTGTACAGCAATTGACATGAATTGTAGTCTGTTGCTTTTAAGTTACAAAAATAGTATATTAAAATGCCAGTGATACATGGTTATAATCTGGAGTAGGACAAGTCTTTCTATGAGCTTAAATGGATTTTACTCTTCAAAAGTCCTTTTGGAAAATTAAATACTTCATGCTGAAAATATATGTTCTCTATAATTAACTTTTTAGAAAAGTGAAATTGCTTTCGTTATGGCATGTCTTCATTATCATCAGCTCATTGAAAGAAGCACTCTTGGCTCTGCCACAGTGTAAGTACCGATTTTAGTTGTCTTATGGATGCTGAGTGTTGCTCTACGACTTAAGTTCTCTTGAAACATAACTTCCCTTAAATATGATTCCGTTTCAACAAGAATGTGAATTATGTTGGGCAGTGCTGGGCAGTGTTTGTAATAATTGACTTACAAAGCACAACAATCTGTGGCTTTAATGGTGCATACAAAATGTTTAATTAAATTACTTAAATTATTGAGGTTCCATTAAACATTTGCCTGATACCTTTAAATATAAATGATTATGGAGTTGAGTTTTATATACTCAGTTCTCTGATTTTCTAGAAGTGTTTTCCCTTTTATTTTGGCAGAGGATTTGAAGAAATCACCCTTTAGAATGTGTTTGTTTAGTATATAATGCATTATTTGGGGCTATGTGAAAGGTTAAGTTTGAAATAATTGTCTGTTGGTGGCTGGCAGTTAATTGCGTAAGACTGGTCTGAGAAAAGCTAGGTTCTTTTTATACTGAGAGGATTGTAAAATTTCACTTCTGGTTGGCTTACTGGGTAGAAATTCTGGGTCACCCATTGGACTTTAAAAGTGGTCTGAAGACACATAATTCTATGTCACTCAGATCTGATTGATTGACAAGTAGGCTGGCTGCAACATGCAAAGCCCAGTCCTATCACTGTTCAGAAATAGTGAAACTGACTGAGACTGTGAACCAGAAGAAGCAGCTGGGAGAGAAATCTGAAGTCTAGAGCTGAGACAAGTGGAAAATGGGCTATTGAGGCTAAAGAAAGCCTGGAAGTATAGTCTCCCCCAATAGAGCTGAATCAATGGCTGAAGCTGAAGACTGGCAGAGAGGCTTGGTGGTTAACAGTGAGAGAGAATTCAGCAAGTTGCTTCTGGAGCTGACCAGAGAGAGAACTGCCTGCATGCCCGGCTCATAGGAAACCTGCGTAAGTCCTCTGTACCTGGCAGTGGTGAGAACTGAGTGACTAAGGGTATTAAGTTTGATAGGGATGGGACCTCTGCTTTCCAAGTCAGTCTTATGTAAGTGTATGTATTTGTAAGCAACTGTCATTTATAAAACCTTATTTTCCCTTTATAGTTTATACATAAAGAACATCTTGTTTTTATTTACTTAAAAGCATATCTGGCTGGTTTTGTACAATGTATAAAGCACAACGACTACCGGGTTATAGTTTAAGTACAGTGGTACCTCGGGTTACATACGCTTCAGGTTACAGACTCCGCTAACCCAGAAATATTACCTCGGGTTAAGAACTTTGCTTCAGGATGAGAACAGAAATCGTGCAGCGGTGGCACAGCGGCAGCAGAAGGCCCCATTAGCTAAAGTGGTGCTTCAGGTTAAGAACAGTTTCAGGTTAAGAACAGACCTCCAGAACAAATTAAGTACTTAATCCAAGGTACCACTGTATAGATATATGGTGGCAGCTATATTAGAAGGTTTTGAATTATACATACTGTGTTGGGAGTGGGAGTAAAACAGGAACCCTTCCACATATAAATCAGCAGGGGTAAATAGAAGCTGTTCTCCATATATAAGGACAAGTGACCCTCCACAGAGAATATGTTGTTTTCTCTTCCTGCTGCTTTACAGTTTAGTGTGTACTGGAATTGAATACAAGAATGACCAAACTACTGTAACAGACATTCAACAAAACCAAGATGACAGTACATGGGATAACACCATATGCATTTTTGAAGCTGATTTCACAAGGAAACGTATTTTAGAAATAAATCTGTGTAACTGGGATCTTGTCATCCAGTTCAAACATGATTGATAACTGCCAGAGAAATTCACTTACAAATTTTATTTTATGTTATGTTTTCTTAACATGTTTTTATACACTATGTCTTATTTCTTTCCTGTTCTTTGTTTCAGGAGATATGCTGCAGCCCCAGATAAGGCTATCTTGGATGATATTGACCCAGAATATGGCATGCATGGCTATCAGCTGCACATTGACTTACACAGCAGGGGAAATACTTACATGTGTGGCACATTTCGTAGTTTGTTTTGTAAAAAAGGTACTTTGATGGCATCCTTAAGATGGTTTCTGTTGATCTAATTTTAGTATGTGTTCCTAACCACAAGAATGATCCTTGTCTGTAATTATCCCCCCCTCCAACCTGGACACATTGTCTCTTCTTGGTCTGACTGGAGCAAGGTTGCAGCTGCCTGGGGAAACCAAGGGGATCCCTGCCCAAAGCAGGAGTTGTAGATTTCTCTGGCTGTTCCCTGGGGGCGAACAGGAAGGGACATGGACAGGAAGGGACATGGTTATGATCGATGAGACTTTGGCCAGGTACTGCTCATTTGATAGTAGCAGTTAACTATTTTTGTTTTACACAATGGCTTCTTAGCTGACCTCTACCCCTTGATTGATTTTATTGGAACTTTCGATTGGCCTTGCAGGAAACCTTCTTGACCATTGCACATTAACAGTTTAAAATTCCTTAATTGTTTGCTGCATGCATCTAATAAGTTGGAAGGATAGGCCAAGTGTTCGCCAAATAAATTATTTTCTAGAACTACTGACTGTGCCTTTCTCAGTAGAGAGAAGCTGAGTGGAGATATCAATGTCTGATACCACACCATTATTTTAGATAAGGCTTCCTCAACTTCGGCCCTCCAGATGTTTTTGAGACTACAATTCCCATCATCCCTGACCACTGGTCCTGCTAGCTAGGGATCATGGGAGTTGTAGGCCAAAAACATCTGGAGGGCCGAGGTTGAGGAAGCCTGTTCTAGATATTGTTTCCTTTCTTCATCAAGCAGAATATTGTTCTGTTCCAATTGCCCAGGTATCAGAAAATGGTGACCAGTGCATTGGAACTAGACTGAAGAAAATATAGGCAGGAGAAACAGATAACTCTGTATTTTGACATTTTATATTCTCATATCTACTTACGGCAAATTCAGTTTTGTGATAGTGAATCTTTTATGTAGCCAAAATGGCATCATACATGCACAAGATGGAAGCATCAGTAGGCTTGCAGAAATCCTCAGGTTTTCAGACATACAAAATAGTGCTGGAGGGGGCAACCTAGGGTTGGAAATAACTCCCAAAGCAGCCCAGTGAATATTGAACTTTCTTTGTGGCTATCTGACTGGTGGTGGAGTAAATAATAGAAGCCTGAGGAGGAGAGGACATAAAAGAATGGAAAACAGAACAGGAATGTTTCATACCACACAGTTTCATTGTGGTTCCACTTAGTCATGTAATTCTGAGGTTGGCAATAACCTAAAAGATAAGGTTACATCTTAGAATATAAGATGTCAGCCAAATATGCAGATGAACCTGAAACACTGTGGAAGTATCAATACTGATATTTATAATAAGAAATATTTTGGGTAAGGATGAATCAGCTGATTACCATGCAGATTAACTCATCAAAGGTTATTAACAATTTTAATAGCTATACCACAAAAATCTGCTTCTTGGAAAATCAGTACTGTAGATGAATTGATAAAGAAACTGAAGTGGACATAAATGGTCAGTTTTCATAGTGAAGAGGGGTGATTAGTGGAATTTCTTGTTCAACTTGCTATCTAAGAGCATTTAATATGATGTCTTGAGACCATTAAAAGATGAGCAGTGTAAAGATTATTATCAAAGCGGTAGAAAATAATGCAGAAGATTGCATAATACAGTTTGATCAGTTTAGCAGCCATAGTGCCTTAGGAAGCTTCCAGACCTCAGGACATCATCTTGAGCATCCCTGACCTTTACAGTGTTAACAGTTGGAGTAATAATAACAACACGTTGTTGTTTGTTGTTAACAACAGTAATTTGAATGTGTTAGACGCTTTATCTTGCCCTAGGCAACCCAAAGCAATGAACAACCAACCAAACCAGGCAGACAAAAAACCCAAACATAGATACATTAAAACCAAGAGGAAAAAAGAAATACATTAAAAACATTTCACCCACTTCTAAAAGGCTACAGATACTAAAGGCCAGAAGCCTGGTTATAGAGGAAATATTTAATGATGGTGCCAGGAGAGCCTCCCTGAGGAGAGCATTCCAACAATGGGGGGGGGGGCAGAAAAGGCCTGTTCTCATGTTGCCACCCTCCGGACTTTTTGTGGAGGTGTACACAAAGAAGGGCCTCAGATGATGATCAGAGGGTCTTGGTAGGTTTATTTGGGGAAAGGTGGTTCTTGAGGTATTGTGATCATGAGTATGCTGTTAGTGTTGTCTTAAGTTATACACTTTTAACGTCTATGTGCATGTCACAATCAGAAAGCTGTCTGGTGGACTGGCTGTGACTCATTTTGGATCTTGTATTCATAGATGACATAAATCTTATTTAGAGGAGAGTGAAGAATGTTCCACTTACTGTTAATCTGATATGAGGTATCTTTTTATGGCTTGCTGATTGTTACAGATTACATTAGAAATGGATACCTGAGGTTTACCGTGATAAATTACAAAAAAACGGCCCAACATCTACCTCTTGTTGGAAACATTGGCTTATCTTGGATGACAGGTGTTTTTGAAGGCAATGTTCAGGTAAAATGCGGGGGTGTGTGTGTGTGTGGAAAGAGAGAGAGAAGGGAAAGCTGGTAAAGGAATTTAGGGGTCCGTAATGTGGTAGATTGGGGTTGAGGGATATTTTTGAAGTTAATCATTGGTCCTGCCATTGCTCTAGCAAATACTGCTAGTTTTGTTCTTGGTGACAGCTTTGTGTAGCCTCTACACATCTGCTTAATGGGAAATTAGGCCTTATTGAGATTGCTGCTGCTGATTTATGATGTGATTCAGAAGGAAGATGTAAATGTCTTCTGTGCTATTTTGCTGATAACTATAAACAAAATAATAGGACAATAATATGATTGCCACAGCCACACCTTAAAAATATTGCTGTTTTAAAAATATAAGTCTTTGACCTTGACTGTTATACAATCAAAGGAGATAAAGATGACCCACCTTAATTTTGTCACACTTAATTAATTGAAGTGTATCTGGGTTATTAGGATTTTGTGTTAGAAGGACTATTTTACAGCTAATCTTGTCTGCTATATTCTTTGTAGCAACAAAAGCCAGCTATAGCTCTGTGGGAATAAGGATTTTGTAGATGCACCTTTGAATGAGTAATCATTGTGTTATTGGTATCATGTGCAGAGTATGGAGACTGATTTTCTTTCTACTTTTCCCCCTTCTCGTTGTCTGTTGCATACTTTAGAATTGTTTCATTATGGATGTGACCCTTCTGGACGATTCACAAAAACCATATTGGTGTTTTAGTGCTCCAGTCAATATGGTGCTGTCTCCCAAGCCATCCGGTCTCTATCAATATTTGGGACCCAGTTATTATTTGAATTACATGGATTTGACTGGAAAAGTACATATGGAGCTGGTGTGGATGGAAGAAACAAATGAATACTGTATAATCAATCTGGTCCTTTATTTGAGCACCGAGAAAGTTAATAGCTGGTTTGGTACAAATTACTGAATTTAGTTTTTTAAACAGAGTTGCTTTACATGAAGATGATTATTTTGAATTTTACCTGTCTCTAAAAATATGTACCATAATTTACATGTAACAAAAACTCTTATGTTAGCTGTCTGTGAATTAAAAAGAATAGTTTATTTTCTGAAAACATGTAAAATAAATTACTTTGTATTTGAATAGACTATGTGTGTTCCTGCAGAAATTAAGCATTCTTGTTAGATAAGGGAACATATCCTAATAACAGGAGTGGCTAACCTGAAGCCCTCCTGCTGCTGTTCAACACAAACTCCCAGCAGGCCCAGCCAGCATGGCTAATGGAAGTTGTAGTCCAAAAACTTACAAATAAACATGAAACAGTATCTCATAATGTAAGAATATATTGTTTAACAGAGATATTAGTGGAAAATGTTACAAAGACTCTTGTGGGGGCCTTGATTACTTTAGTAAAACAGGATGACTTCTGATGTACTGTTTACAGACTATTATCTTTGTTTGTTGGAATACAAACCTAGGCATGTTTCGAAGCATTGAATCATTGTAAATCCAAAATTATTCCACCTAGTCCAACATTGTGGGATGTATTCAGCTAAGTCTTCCTTGGAGTAAGCCTATTGAAATTAATGAGCCTAAGTTAATTAACTCCAGGGGGCCTCCTCTGAATATGACTTGCATTGAATACCATCCTGTGTTTTCAGCAGTGACCATTATATGCTGCCTGTAGACCACCAGCAGGACTCGAAGGCCACTCAGCAACTGGTATTCAGTGGATTTTTGCCTCTGCACATGAAGGTTTACATTTAATCAACATGACTAATAGCCATAGGTCAATAATTTCATAGACTCTATATCTTAACCTCCACTTGGAGTCATAGAAGCCAAATATAATCTGTACATATGCAGTAGTTCTCATGCATGTACATTCTGTCATTGAACTTAAATTTAAGGACTACAGTAGTGAGATTTTTTTTCCAATTCAATGGAAAGATGTGTAAGCCACTCAGAAGCCATTTTGGAATGTAAAAACAGTATATAAATTAATAAATATGAGAAAAGTGGAGTGGTGGAGATGAATGAAAACAATTTCAGATATATTCTGAGACAAAAATTCATACGGGAAAATATTCATATATTTTCCTTTATATTTTGTATCTGAAATTGTGTTTCTATGCTTTTGTCATAGCCTTTGGCTAGCACAATAAACTTGCTGACGATGGCATTGATTACTATCCTGAGGATTAGTTTCAGTAGTGGGTGAGTGCATTTGAATTCAAAAAGGCAATGAGATTTCAGCTGGTTTTTCATCTGCAGAACACTTAACAAACAGACCAGAATCTTTGCCTCTGTCTTGGTGCATTTTTCTCTGTCATTTTGTCAGCGGGAGGGAAATAGGCAAACCCTACAGAATGCTTCAGATCCTATTTGATCTCATTCTTGAGTCTGGAACTGAATATTTCATAAGATGGCAAAGAATTCAAAACAATAGTGGACAGAGTGTTTGCAAGTTAGCCTAGTCCTAGAGGTGGAAATGCTCCAGCTATAGTTCTGCAGAATTGCAAAGCAGGTATAGCTTAACTTAAGCTTGATTAATCCTAGAACTTGTTTGTGTTGCTGAAACACATCTCTTAAAGGTTTTGAAGTAATAATAAAGGAGAATGCTTTGTGCATGTTAGAAAACCCTTTCCTTACTTCTGAGCTGCTACAGTTAGCCTCCTCCAACCCTTTTTCCACAGAAGTTGCTATTGGGAAAGGAGAGGGCACCTTCTGTCTGTTTTGCCAAGAAACACAGCAATGGGCCATGGAAAACTGACATGAGGTATATCTCTTGAATCTGAAAGCTCGTACCAATAGTGTCAGGCAGGGCTTTTTTCAGCTGGAACTCGCCGGAATTCAGTGACAGCACCTCTAAGTTGGGCTCTATTGCCATTATAAGAGAACAAGGGAAGCATTCCTAGTCGGTTACAGCACCTCTTTTTCTAGAAAAATAGCACTGGTGTCAGGTGTGAAAAACAGCTAGAAACTCCTTCACTACTTGCTGCATAAATGGATTTTGTACTTTGTTCAGCCTCCACAAGAGTAGCTGAATGACAAATTATTACTTGAATGTGGTGCAGCTTTTCTGCTAAAGCATTCAAAGCGGTTTGCTATTTTAAATGATAATAGTAAAGTTACAGGGCAAAAGAATTGAACAGCAGAGCTGTTTCAGGACATTGGTGGGCTCTTCAGGAGCTGATGGCATTCACTCCCTGGTCTGAGCTTTTAAAAAGCAGCTTCTGGAAACTTAGCTCTTTCAATAAATACATATCTTGCCCAGTGCTGCATAATTGCTTGCTAGCTCTTTTACCTGAAGCCACCATAGTGCTGTGCAGTTTCTTCTACTATGAAAAGAGCAGAGTACTTTGGCTGTGTTTCCTCCTCTGTCAGAAAGAGAGAATGAGAACACATCATGTACCGGCATCATATCCTACTGTTCTGTATACATGCTACCAGGAAGGCTTGCAAGAACGGTCATTTGAGGACCTATGACCAGACACTTAATGGTAGGTCTCTTTATTACTAACCTCAGAATGTTCACATTCAGGTTCATCCTTGAAATCCTGTATCTAAACCCTGTCAATTGTTAAAATAGAAAATAAAAAACCTCAAACATGCAAATAAAAGCTTGCATGTGCATGCATTTTATCTTGCCTACTGACCAAAACTTGGGAGATGAATGAAATACCGGTAGTTTTTTAGATGCTACCATAAAAGGCATTTCCTCCCATCCCCTCAGTGAACCAAGAACCACTTGAAATTTGTTCTCCTCATTATAATTCATGCACCTTGAATTAACTGTGATCAGGGCCAGATGCTGTTAATTTTGCCAGTCTTCTATACAAAATTGCATGGCAGCAGTGCCAAGGTAAGGAAAGGTTTGTGCTTCTGTTCTGGTGGGAAAGGCTGTGATTTTAACACACACAAAACAGATTGGCAAAAGCTGAAGGATAGACACTGTAGTTCTCCAAACGACATATTAATTTATGGAATTGCTTATTCCCAAGGTGGCCACTAGCAAAAGGCCAAATAGACAGTGCAAGAGTCTTTGAGCTAGATCAGGACTATGAAACTGGAGAAGTGGAGGTGATTAACCCTTTGACCTCACGATCCTAATCAGAATCTTCTCCCCATGTCTGCTATTTGCAGTGGGAGGAAAAATCACATTGGCACCCATAAAAGTCTCCTCTCATTGTAGCAGGCATCCCCAGTTATTGGGGGTGAGCATGGATGAAGGGTTTACTACCCACACTATGATCCCAATTCTTCTATGTCCATTTTGCAATTCTTTGAGGTGGGGGTATACTTGTTATACAGACTGACATTCTAGGCTATCAAGCCAGGTTTTGTGTAACTTTTCACTGGTCTCTGCAACATCTGCTTGTAGCTGCTTAGCTGTTATGGCCATATCTTATGTTTGCCTTTAGCCAGATGGGTTTCACTTTTTTAAAAAATGCAAAACAATAAAGGGAACTTTGTATCTAAGTTGCTAAAGGCTTCATGTGGTCCTTGCCTCACTTTATTTTAACAAGAACTGTGTACCAGGAGCATTGAGTGAAAAGTACAATCCATTTGTAAGTAGGAAAGTCACTTTGAGCTATTGTTTTGACTAACATGAAAGGTCATTTGAACTACAATTCCCAGAACACTCCTGTAACTGACCCTGCATGTTCGCCAAACAAATGATGATCCATCTTTCAGAAGCCAGATTGATGGATTATGATTCCCTGAAGTTCAAAGGATTGACTCTGACTTTGCAGAGTGCCTCATTATAGTTGTGTGTGGTATTCCCTCGCTCCTGTTTCAAGCCATCCATATATTATATTTTTCCACCTTGGAGGTCTGGTGACTGCATGAACTCCTTGGCCTTCTCCGATGTGTCTGCCTTAGCAGAACAGTACAATGCAAATGGAAAATGCTTCTTAACTGTGGAGCGTGTCATGATTAGGCTTCTTCTTTTCAGTTTGTATTTGCTGCCAGGGCTAGCTTTGAATTACTTTTTAAAGTTCAAACAGCATTCTCCCCAACCCCTTACCTCCTTGCCTTTTCCCCTTCGAGAGAGAGAGAGACCATGTATATATAGCATATGGTTACCAGATTTTTTTCAATGAATCCAGGGACACTATTTTTTTTTTTTGGAAGCTGAGTAGCAACAGGGAATCAGTAATAATAAATAATAATACATTTTTATTTATACCCCGCCCTTCCTGGTTCAGAAAACGGGGCTCAGGGCGGCTAACAACAAATTTAAAACACTTAATTGATGCAGTATAAAACGTGAATAACAATAAATTCAGAATTCAAAAATCATTTTAGGGGGAAAATCCATCCAATAAACATTAGATGATCACCAGGGCTAGCTGGCTAAATTAGTCCTATCTGGGCCAGTGAGGAGACCAGGGGAGAATTAGCTGTGGGATCCCAGAGCATGTAATCTTCATAAAAAGGGGAAGGGGAGGGAAGGAAAGGGAATAAAAGATCAGGCTAAGTTCAAATTGAAAGACAGGTGGAATAGCTCTGTTTTATAGGCCCTGCGGAAGGAAGTTAAATCCTGCAGGGCCCTGGTCTCATGGGACAGAGCATTCCACCAGGTTGGAGCCATCACTGAGAAGGCCCTGGCCCTAGTGGAGGATAATCTGACTTCCTTAGGGCCCAGGGCCTCTAAACTATGATTATTCATGGACCTTAATGTCCTCTGTGGGGCATACCAGTAGTGGGGATGGTGAGGCAAAAGACCCTGGGCCCAAGCACAAATGCATATCCCAAGCCTTCCCTGATGATCTGCCCCTTCCCGCTTTGTTTTGACAGATCGGGGGAGGCTCGGGAGTCGCAGGTGGGCGTTGCCCAGGAGGGGCGCAAGGCACACAGTTTCTCTGCCAGGCAGGGTGCAAAGCTCTTCTTTCGTACCCTGTGAAACATAAATGTGCAGAGTTTTTTTTAAAAAACTGGGCAATGGCGCACCACCCAGCCGTAACTCCCAAGCCTTCCCTGATCTCCTGCCCCCTTTGATTTGACTTTTCGGGGAGGCTCGGAAGTCAGGGACAGGCGGCAGTTGCCCAGTTTTTTAAAAACTCTGCACATTTATATTTCACAGGGTGTGAAAGAAGGGCTTTGCACCTTGCCTGGCAGAGAAACTGCGCCTCTTT